CTATTGTATCATTTGATGCTGACTTCCTAAACCAGGTACGTGCTATGACCATTAAAGATTCAATAGCCATTGATATCAAGCAACGTACCAATGACGACAAGTTCAAGGTGGAGGGAGATCTTTTATACTTTGAAGAGCGATTGTACATTCCAAAAGGACTAGCACGACTCCGAGTTCTTCAATCTCGCCATGATTTTCCAGCTGCGGGACATTTTGGATCCAACAAGACCTTGGAGCTTATTTCTCGAGATTTTTGGTGGCCCCAAATGTGGAAGGATGTGAAAGATTTTGTCCTCTCTTGTGACATCTGTTCAAGATCTAAGAATCCTCGGCATCGCCCTTATGGACTTCTACAGCCATTGCCAATTCCACGTCGACCATGGTCTTCAATTTCTATGGACTTCATCACGGACTTACCATCATCAAACTCATTTGACAGCATCTTTGTTGTGGTAGATCGGCTTACGAAGATGGCACACTTTGTTCCTTGTAAGAAGACATCGTCCAATGAAGTCACAGCAAGACTCTTTCTCGATAATGTGTATCGATATCATGGACTACCAGATGATATCATATCAGATCGAGGTACCCAGTTCGTGTCAAAGTTTTGGAGATCTCTCTTTGGGATATTGAAGGTGGATATCAAGCTTTCTTCAGCTTTTCATTCTCAAACTGATGGCCAAACGGAACGGGTGAACCAAGTCTTGGAGCAGTACTTACGATGCACCATCAACTATCAGCAAGACGATTGGATTGCATATCTACCGCTAACTGAGTTTGCATATAACAACACCCTCCATGCGTCGACTCAACAAACACCATTCTTTTCCAACTATGGGTAACATCCGAAGCTTGATTTATTGAGTCCGTCAACAAATAACAATCCAGCAGCTGAAGGATTTGCGAAGCAACTATCAGAGCTTCAAACTATGTTGAAGCTTCAATTACAATCCGCTCAAGAATCCTATAAGACGTCTGCAGATAGATTTCGGAATCCAGCACCTACTTTCAAAGTTAGAAACAAAGCCTAGCTTCTTCGACGAAATATCAAGACCAAGCGACTATGTGATAAGTTGGACTATCGAAGATTGGGACCATTTATCATCCAGAAGCAAATTAATCCAGTGGCATATCGGCTGGAGTTACCGGCTTCTATGAAGGTACATCCAGTCTTTCATGTTTCTCTGTTGGAACCTTATCGAGAGTCATCTTTTCCTGGAAGAGTGCAATGTCCGCCACCTAGTATTGAAATCGAGAACCACGAAGAATACGAGGTTGAAAAGGTATTGGATTCACGGCGAAGGTGGGGAAAGTTAGAATATCTTGTTCATTGGTGTGGCTATGACATTAATGAGCGAACATGGGAGCCAGATGAAAATCTTGCGAATGTGCCACAAAAAGTACAGGAGTTTCATCAACGACATCCCGATAAACTTAAATCAATTCGATGATAGCTTCTTTCTGAAGCTTGTTCTCCCAACAATATAAGAAAAGGGGAGAGCACCAGCAAAATTCATAGTTGATGTAGTTATTTTCTCCAAGATAGATCGTAGTTTGGTCTTTTGATATAGATAGCCAAGAGATAGATACTATGCCAGTCAGAGTATCGCAACCGAGTAGCTCACGAAGGCGACCCCGAGATGAAGAACTACATTTACCACGACGATGACGGAGGATACCCAGTAACCGATCACTGGTGATCGTATTTGAGATCGAGCCTGCTTACGATGGTCAACCAGAAGGCGTGTTTGCAGGATAATTTCACAATCAGGACACGGAAGTTCATGCTTGGTCAGAAGTCGAAGGCGTGGGCCACTACCGTTGGCTTCAAGGATCGATGAACCACTTGCCTCGTGAACAACAGTTGGAGTTCATAGCAGAAGTTATGCGACAGATCTTCATTTTCTTGCGTTGGTACTGATCAACAACATTGCTTCTCAGAAACCTCGAAGCTAAATGAGGGGGTGATGTTAGGGACATATTCCTTAGAACTTTCTAGAGAGAAGTTTCTAGAACCTTCTAGAAAACAAGCCTCTAGAACCTTCTAGAAGAGAAGCCTCTGGAACTTTTTAGAGAGAAGTTTCTAAAAGCTTCTAGAAAGGAAGTCTCTGGAACCTTCTAGAACAGAAGTTTCTAGAAGCTTCTAGAAAGGAATCCCCTGGAACTTTCTAGAAGCTTCCTAATTAATAGAAGTAGCTCGAGAAGTTTCTAGAACCTTCTAGAAAGGAAGCCTCTGGAACCTTCTAGAAGCTTCCTAGTTAATAGAAGTAGCTCGAGAAGCTTCCTAAGTAGGAGTATATATAGGAATCGAGGCTGAAGAGTTCTTCAGTCTCGACAACACATCTCTTGGAGTTCTAGCTCACCTTTCTGGTGTTGTTCTTGTACTCATCTGTTTAATCTAGTTTTGCCACTTCTTCTTGAACTTCTTCTTAGATTTCAAGTCTGTATTTTGTGTCCGTGACATTCAATTAAAAGAATTTATAATATTTAGATGCCTTTATTTCTTATATTCTAAATTTGCAACTAATATATGCTTTTACTCATATGAAGTTTTTGTATGTTTAAATAAATTGGATGTTTTTAGACTTACAGGAATTATATCTCTATCAATTGGAAAAATTAAGAACTTATTGTATTTGTAAGTACTCTTTGATTTTTTGTTGGTACTTGAACTTTATTTAGGCTTTGAAGTAAAGGTTTGTATATGAAGTAGAACAATCCTTAAGTCCCACTTTAATTATTTTGGAATTAATCTTATAAAATCTAAGTAGATTTTTATACTTCTTATGATAGACTTCACATTGCTCTTGGTCATTTGATATTTTTTTTTACTTCTTATCTTACTTCTTATTTGTTAAATAATTAATGCAGTCATTGATAAATTTATATATTTCTTCCAAAAATTATATGAATTGGTGAGAGGATCTTAACACACATACACATATATACAAATAAAATAAAAATTAATAGCATATTTTATCTTTGTAATCTTTGCCTTCATTAACTTTATAAATTGAAGATGCCCTCAAAGCTCCAAATACAAAATATATCATAAGAAACTACAACAATATAATTTCTTCACTATCAAAGTTTTTACATTTTTTGGCTTCTAAGAAAAATCGATTAACATAAACTACTACCAAAGTACAAAGCCTAATTATTATGAGAGCCACAAAGAAATAAGACCAGACTATCTCAAAAACCCAAGATCCTTCTATTCGACAACAACATAAAATCTTATCACAAAATAGGACAAAATTAAACGGAATTAAACAAAATAGAACATGAAAGACAAACTAAACAAATAGAAACATAACAGAATAAAACTAAACAAAAAGATGTAAAACCAAACTTTACTAAGAGAAATAATCTAAAGCCATACCTATTCAGATGCCCTAAAAGACCCTAGTCCATCTTATTTATACCTTATCCTACCACCCTTGACTTTCTAGAATGTTCTTAGGTAGTAGGTCCCATCTAGATAACTATCTTAAGCCTTTTTTAGAATGTTCCATGATAGGTCTTATTTGGTCTACTAACCTAATCCCAATTCTAGAAACTTCCATGCTTCTAACTATCTATATAATTATCTTATCTATATCGTATTATACACAATTCCAAATGCATGCACTTTTTATTGTAGTGTTTAGTATGTTGTCCTCTAAGTAGTGGTTCTGCATATTATTTTAGCCCCATTTTTGCAATAATATTTTTGATAGTTTTTAAAGTTTAATTTTTATCCGACTTTATACATTTTGTGTTGAAGATTTGGCATCTTATATGAGTTGGAATATATATTAAACAAACTCCATAGTTGTAACATAATTTTGGTGCAAATGTCTCATGTTTCAATGTCATGGTTTTATCCTCTGATATCTTTTTTATTTGTGGATTTTATTCTTTAATGTAGCTTTAGATTTCTTTTTTATATTAATATTTTTTTTGTAATTAGAAAATTAATAAGAAAAAGAATAGCAAGGTTGATGAATACAAATTGTTACTACTTAGTATTTTTGAAATAACATTTTATTAACTATGATTTACCTAATGACTAAAGGAGATGAAGGTTAAGAATGGAAGGAACGAGGAGGGTTGACGTAAGAACTATAAACAAAGAGGTTAAGATGAAGAAGGCTGAGAATGGAAAAAACAAGGAATAGGAATAAAGAAGGTAGAGATAAAGGTCATGATTGTAAGGATGGTTTTTGGAGATGATCCATTTTTCTAATGATGGTTACAATGGAATGGATCAATTTAGTAAATGGATGGGTCATTTTAATGCTTTCCTATGTATATAATCATTGTCTTAATTTTTAATTAAAAATTTTGATTTTAATTTTTTTTTTCCAAATTTTCTATTTTCTAATTTAAATTTAATATTATTTTTAAAATTTTATTCCTTTAAAAATATATTTTCCTAATTTTATCTACTTATATGTGCATATAACCTAAAACTTAAAACTACCAATTTATCATTTTTTTTTTAAATTGAATGTAGATGCAATTAATAACATGTATGCTCAAAATTGAAATAAATTAATTCTTGTACTTCGAAGTCTCTTTTACAATTTTGTTAAAATATGATGATTTTATATTAATATTATTGATATTATTATTAATATTTTAAACGGCATTCATATATAATAAACATTTCCCACAAAGTCATCCAACTTCAAACTATTAAAAAATATTTATTAGCTAATAAATAAATTATTTATTCAGTTTATCAATGCCACGTAATATGCATTTGTTGATGCTAGCTACGTAAGGATGATCATTATTATTCTCAACATTAAAACCTACACCAAATTAGAAAAGAAAAGAAAAGAAAAACTTTACACATTTAAATATCTTGGTGGTCACTAGGGAATAACAAGTTCCCAATACACGTTCTCAGTATACGTTCTCAGTGCTCGTGTATACGGGAACGAGCTCGAGTTCCCCGACGACAAAATAACGCTGGGTTAAGTCGTCGTGTGAATGGGACTTTCAGGTGTCCAACTAACGTTGAAGAAAACGAGAAAGAGCTCGTGCATGAATTAGGGTTTGAATTCCCCGACTCTCCGAATGAAAGGTTTGCACATCGTTACGTGCAATTTGTCTGCATGCATGCAAGCTTGAGTGTGCGCAGGATTCAGAGTCGAAGGAGGCTGGATTGAATGTGCAGTGCAGTCAATTAGACGGGCTTGGACTCCACGGTCTGTACCCTCTCCTTTCAATACGAGAGAATATAATTTTTCTAGCAAGTGGAAAAGCGTGTTGAGCGGGAGAGAGTAGGATTGCTGTGCAAGCGTTGAATTCTGGGTTTGGAGTCGGTTTAGTTTGAGCGGCATGAGGTTCATGGTTGCTTGGTGGACTGGATTTTACTTTTAGATGCATTGGTTCGAGCATGGCATGTTGTGAGGGACTTTAGAACATGCGGTGCCTCCCGATAGAACGAATTTTAATGGAATCTTTTGTTTAGCGTGGGTTTTACACAGGTGGATTTTGCTATCGTAAGTGTATTCCCTGTTCTTTTTTCTTTCGTTTTTTTTCTTTATTTTTTGAATCTTTTTTAAGGTATCAGTCTGGTATATGTTAGGAAGATATTTACCAATCCAGAGGTTGAGGACATCTGTTTGAATTATTGATGGAGGGACTATAGAATTGCAATATTTTCTTCACTGCAGCAAGGGTGCAATATACTGATTTCAAAAAATATATTCGACTGGTGCTATTCTATTGCGGTTGACGAAGAACCGAGGAACTGTTTATGAGTGGTGTCATTCCAATAAAAAGGAAAAAAATAAATAAACATCAACTTTTAACAATTTAAGTATTTTTTAAAATATTTTTTAGAGGCTGAATTCATCAATAAAATGTGGTGTCTTATCCTAGAAATGTAATCGAAGTTGGCTACCGGATGAGACAGTCTCTTTACTAAAGTTTAATTAATCCTTTAGAGATGGCAACACATATGCTAGTTCCAACTTCAACGACGATTCCAAGCTCCTCAACTCAAGGTCATCCTCATTACGTAAGTGCAGGGCTAGAAACAGGAGGAATGGATCTTGGTGGAGATAAAGTGGTTCATGGGGTGGAAGTAAGGCCTGAAGCTGGTGATGTACCCATTCCGATGAAATTGAAGAGAGAAGCCATGGGGGTAGAGATGGTTTTGAAGCAGACTGCTGAAATAGGAATGGTCTTGGTTGGCATGGCAGCCCTTAGAGGTGGGGCTCCGCCTGCTCCAGTAGAACCCCATCTGGCGATAAAGGCTTATTCAAATTTGGAAGGGCTGGCTGAATGTGTAGCACCTCATGATATTGTGTCGAAGAAGTCCTTGCAATCGTTGCTTCAGCAATTGATTTTGCCCAAGGTATGAGCTGGAGTTACTTCTTGATACGAAATTTGGTTGTGTATGCCTGTACTCGTGTAATCACTGATTTGAGCAATGCAATTCTAGATACCTAGTGCGAATTTCGGTGATTGCAGAATTGTCTTGCCCTAAGGCAGTGCTAAAATTCTATATCATCGTACACAGGTACTGGGAGGGAGTCGGGTAATGTACCGATAGTAGTTTCGTTATACTGATATCCCTTTGTTGGTCAATTTGAAAATCAATATTGCAATTCCGGTGGATAGAATATATAATGTCAGCAATGTGATAGATTTGGAAGTGATGTCAAAAGTGTTTGCCTTTCTGATACATGTCTTTTGATTTGTAGAACTCTATCCTGCCAACTGTGTCATCTCTAACACCAGCGCGGGATGTTTCAACTCCCGCCATTCTAGCTTCAGCAGCACCAATATCTGCCGAAGCTGTAAATATTTCTGGCGAGTTATTCATCCACTTACGTTCCAGTCTTGTGAGTAATTCTTTTGATTGTTCTGTTTGCGTCATCAATATAACACAAGTTTATGAATGGGAAAATGAGTGTGATTGTTTCATGCCTATTCGTGAACTTGATAAAATCTACTCTTTGAGTCTGATCCTGAATCTCCCTTGTGCTAGTCCACGTTACTTGGCAATTTTTGAAGTTGATCATAGAAAAGCCGTCAGGAACCTAGTATTTAGTTATGTACACTTCGGCTTTCCATGTATCCTATTCAGTTAGTAGTAAATAAATGCACTGTTAAACCAATATGTAGTTGCAGTTTATCTTGTGATCATTTGCCGGAAAATTCAACACTCTATAGGTGACATCCTGTGATCTAATTGGTTTACTTTTGTTTTATTTACAGGGAAGAGATCAAGTAACTCCCATGTTACTGCAAAACCAAAGCGTGCAAGTAAACCGGGTGTCTTCAAAACCCTTATCGCTTGCTCAAAAGACTCTCAAAGTATATCGTCTAGAGATGGAAATATGCTAAAAAAGCTTGCACGGATACGTGAAACAAAGACTGTTCAACCTCCAGTTGACCTGCGGCATGTACACCAGAAGATCGCATCTGAAGTAAGCTTGTCAAAACTGGATATTATATCGACAGCTTCACGAGAACCGGCTAGTTCATATATAATTTCTCTGGTCACTTGTGACATTTGCAAGAACCTGGTGAACGATACAACAAGTTTAGTAATTTGTGACGGATGCGCATCTGGGTTTCACTTACCGTGCTTACAGACGAACGAAGTTTTAGATGTTCCAGAAAAGATCTGGTATTGTACAAAATGTTTGTCGGCGAACGGTGGTCGACCAAGACAAGCTCTATATGATCTTTACGCCGAGGACCTGGAAGGCCTGGTTCTAGAGCATCGTGGATTCTGAAGGTACTACTCATCCAGAATACCATTGAGAACATGCGTTCTTAACAACGAGTGGGGTCATAGTAGATTGTTGTGTTCGATGATTTCCGTGGGTAATTTATGGTTAAAGGAAGCGGACGGAAAAGTGGCGTGCAATTTAATAAACTAGTGCGTGCCTTGATGTAACTTAACGCCTGTGATTTATGTAACTTTCACCGCAGAGCACATGTAGGGACCACTCAACTACGGTTTCTGGAAAACCTAATGTACTTCTGAGGAAAAGAGTTCGTAATGCTGGCGCTGCTCGAGGAGAAAATCTTATTTCTATAAATGCATCACCAGTTAAGCATTCTAAGAGTGCTCATTTGGATTCATCGTCAAAGGTTCCAGCAGATCTTTCATGAACAGGCTGTCGGTGTGAAATTTAAGGCTTTCTTTCCATCCAAGTTCAGGGTGGTCATTGTCGAATTTCAGGTACAAAATGAATTACTTTAGGAACTTCATGCATACCAGAGCGTAGATTGCTTCGTGTATTTGAAAGCAGTGAAGGTCTCATGGGCATGTTTCGTGATTTTACTCGATAGGGCAGTGACACTGATTGGTTGATGTCTGCTAATGATTTGAAAGAAGTTCATCTGTCATGGCTCCATGGTTCTAGGCACATGGATTGCTTCATGTTGATAGCAATCAAGGTGAAGTCACTCGAGGTTCCCAGTCCTAGTCCGGTTCGGAGCGGGACTAAGTAAGTGCAATCCATCCCAAGCATCGCCAATTTGACCAGTTGACATGACATCTGCCCAACTCGCTGGGGTGTTAGGATCAACACTGTGAACTGATTGGTGTATGCAAAGATGTTTAAGAGCACCTAAATCACATTTCTAGGTGTGGAATGTAAGATGTGCATCTTGACCTCGTCCGTCGAAAATCTTGGTGTGCGGTGAGACTTTCTGAGCTGCATATTTTTACCATCTCAAAACAGGTATTGACTTCTATCCAGTAATAGAAGGCATCTGCCTCCATAATCTGTCGCAACCACATCTTTGCTTTTGTTATGCACATTTTTTGATAAACCTGTGCACAGGAATGACCCTAGTTTGTCGTGTTTAGAATATGACTACTGCATGTAATCGATGCAATCACGATGTAGCCTCGCGCACAATCAAACTTGAAATGACGAAGTCCAATTTGCAGATGATGAAAGTCGCTGAAATTAGAAGGGGTGAGTCTAACTTCCAATGTTCATTCACACGACAGTGGAGAGAGAGAGAGAGAGAGAGAGAGAGAGAGAGAGAGAGAGAGAGATTACTAGTAGAGTAAAGGTTGCATTAGAGATTTCACAGCGTTATTTGGAAGAAGCTCGAGATGAAGTCGAGGAAGCAGAATAATCAGAGCTGGATAAGTCACCAGTGCTACTTCTGTCTTCAACATGGTCATTTGTGAGAGATTCGACTTCAGAATTTCCGCCTTGACGGTAGTCATAACGCCGGACGTCGGAGAAGGAAGACGATGTCCGAGATTCATGAGAATCAAGGCTCTTCACAGAGGTGGCGCCGGACACGTTGGGAGTGGATCCACTCGTAGCTCCGGATTGACTGTCTCCAGATCGAATTCTACTAGTGACAGATAGTGACCATGATGCATCAGCCGAATTGGAGACATTAGTCGAACCGAGGTTAAATTTGTATATGTGCCCTTCTTTACGAATGACCTTGCCCTGCTCGGCCAAGCGGTTCAATTCGGTGGCTATGAGGTTATTTTTTTTCTTATCAAGGGGCCTCTGTACTTGACTTGCAGCAGCCGCAGTATCTTCGACAAGCTTACCCCCTCTTTGGCCTCCCTCACCGTTAGTACTGCCTCTTGAAACAATTTTAAACAGCTTGATGGCGGTCTTCGTCGGTTTTGTGGAGTCGTCGGCACCTTAAGTTTCCTTTTCTTTTTCTGCCCAAGCACTGACTTTGGTCGCGGCTTAGGTCCCCGCAGAGAACCTCTCGTTCCTCGCAACGGCGCTTTTCTCACCCTCAACGCTCTCGGTCCCCGCAGTGGCGTTAATCGCTGACGAACTGATGATCGCATAATACGTTTCAACCGAGGCTTCATCTTTGTGAAGAAACAACTTAGGTATGATCCAAACACTTGATCTAAATCAACTTTTGGATCTGAAAAACATTGTTTTGGCGACGCATCTCTGTGGGTAATTCTTCGACGTTGTCGCCATCTGTTCTCTTTGTCCCCAGATCTCACTGCACTCAACTCAGCAGATGCACATTCATGCAAGGACGACAACCAACTACTCGCTTCGACCTCTCGACTATGTGTCCCTTCAAGTCCTAACTACTTATATCTCTGCTTACTCCTCACATGCCAAAGGGCGGAGGATTAATGTAAGATAAACAGAGTGGTGTTCTGCGAATCACTTGTGACGAACAAGTGCAAACAACAGGCGACCGAGACATGTGAATGGGTAGGTGCCACATTGCTGTCATGGTCAAGGTCTCTATGAACTGGAATTGAATTGGTCCTTGTGAACATGTACCACATCGTACAATCTGAAAACATGTACAGTATGCTTGGAATGGAAATGTAGCCTGGAAATGTCATATGGTCACTCTTAAATGTAGCTTCGATGACCTGTGACGTAGTATTCATACCGCAAGCTTTCCATCGTTCCATCGTGTGAGAACCATTTTCCTTCGTCCTCTTTGCGATTGGATCAATATTTATTTTGTCAGGACAAAACTTCAAATGAATTCTCTGCTTCCTGCTTCGAGATTAATCTACCTGATTTAAACAACGACGATTGCAGTTGTTTTAAGGTTCATAAAACAATTCAGATGACTGATGGTTTAAAATGTTGTGCTTGGGCTTGCTTTAATCCAGTTTTGCAGGTTGACGCCGCGGCCACTCACTCGAGAGAATCACTGACATCATTCACTTAAGTCTTCAAGAATAATGCTTGACAGAATTCGTCGAATCAGAATCTGTTGCAAACGAGGCCAACCTTTCGTTGCTGTGCACCATACCTTGTGGTAACATCGATGGACTAGAAACCCGGTAGAGTCGCTGAAAACTGCAACTGCGCGCGTGCAAAAAGGACTCGAACCATGTATCATCGCAGAGTAAGAGAATTTATTGCGGGGAATAGGTATTCTGGCATATCATGACGTAATCGTAAATGTAACGGAAGTTGTACAACGGAATGAAACTGTCAGAGAGTAGAATGAAAAGTTGATGTGGAGACCCTTCCTTTGCAGCAACAGCTTCGCCATTTCCTTCACAACGGCGCCGCCATCTGTACAGAGATCCATGAGTATAAAACGGGAATGCAGCTTGACATAATTACAAGTACGAGGATGAAAACGACGAATGGTTAGATCGTCCACCGCTTCGACGAGATTGCACTCTTACCGAGTGGCAAATGAAACTGCCATTGCCGTGTCTAGTTATTTAGTTCCAAGGCTGAGGTCTCCGGCTGAGGCACCATTTCTAATGTGCCGCTGATTTCATGCTGCAGCGAAAGGACCTGCATCATCAGTTTTTCAACCTTGAGAAGAGCGGGCTTTTTAAGAATGTTGAAATTTTTGGTGAATCTATTCAAACACTGTATTCTCTACCAAATTATGCGTATCTTATATATATTATATATATAAAGGGGAATGCTAAATAGACCCATATTTTTACTAAATAGACCCACACTTAATGAAGAATATGATAATCATGATGAATGTGGTTGATTTTTATTGGTTGCAAATCTAATAATGGAGAAATAAAACTACAAATCATTATTTTTTTCATGATGCATAGGAAGGGTGGGTGAGTCAATTTAGTAAAAACTTGGGGTCTATTTAACATTCCCCTAAATATAAATATACATCAAACAATGTTGAAAATATAGATTGATTTTCCAATTGAAAGAACTGTTATGAAATAATTTGGGCTTTTACTTGAATATAGTATTTGCAAAGAAGTAAATTTTTGGATGAATGAAGAAGAAGATAACTAAAAAAAAGTTGTATGGTTCAATCAATTTGCTTGAGAAATCATCAAAAAATTCATGCATTAAAAGAATTTTATTGTGATTAATGATTGAATATTTAATATATAATATATTGCATATTATTCATGATATTTTTTTAAATGTTAGATGTAATTATATTTGATGAAATAAATAACATTTTCTATAGTAAAAGAATTTTAGCAAGCATAGTATTAAATTTGGAAAATACATTATTTTATTTCTATATTATATGATCCCAATATATTTAAAGTATAAATTTTAAGCATAAATGATACACAAATAACACAATTTTTTGCTTTGAACCAAAACAGTAACACACACACAAGTACATTCATTATTCATGCATTTACATTTCTATAACTATATGTCAATACACGTAAATAGTATGCTCACGTACTGCAACTTTTGTAAGCAATAAATAAATAAATAAAATACAACAATACTTTTACAATATTCATATTCAAATACAGAATTGCAGTCTTTATTTTGCATTCTTCCTAAAGAAATCCTTAAAATTGTCAAAATAACTTGAAAAATAATTATTAAAACAAAATACATAAATAAATAAATGACAACATCAGCAACAACCTCTTCTTCCTCTTCGAGGCGCATGTTCACATACATGTTGAAAATTGTGCTCTGCTCTGCTCTTATTCATTCATTCTTCTTCTTATTTCTTCTACTTCTTATTTCTTCTACTTCTTATTTCTTCATATTTCTACGTAGAGTATTATTATTCAGTGTGTGTTCCTCCCCCATGTGCTATTCTATGCTATTCCATCCCCAGATTGTCCGATCCACGGCGTTCGAAGCTCCCTCCTGCAACTCCTCGTCCTCCTCATCGACCACTTCAGTAAAAGCCCAATCATTCCTTCTTCATCGGGGAATGGCTTCTTCTTCCAAACCCACACCCAGTCGCCAGCCCCTGAAGGCGAAGATCGCGCCACTGCCCCCACCCCACCCTACCGCTGCTGCTTTGTGATTCTACTCTCAAGTGGGGCTGGCGCAATTAGCAGCGCATCTTGCGGCGCTGTAGAGCTTTTGCGTGTGGTGAGGCGACGCGGAGCGGGAGAGTACCTCACCGACCCGCGCCAGCGGGCTCTGTGTCGGCGGGCCATTAATTTTCCACCTGTGAAGTTAACGCCTCGTGTGCCCATCTCGATGTTGTAGCTTATGGTCTTGGCTGTGGGTTGATGTTGTAACTCCAATCCCCGCCACGAAGAAGCTCCCTTCACGCACAGAGAACTCCAATCTCCGCAACTGGCGCCAGAGAATGGTTTCATCTGCGGTATTTTGGCTCTTCAGCCTGATATCATATCAGCCTGAAGAGCCAAACAGGAACACGCATATTCGCTGCACTGTATTTGTATTGAAGGCATGGGCAGAAATTAGTCTGGATCCAGATGAGTGAGCATCGAAGTCAGCCCTAAAAAAACAACTTTCCAGGCGCTTCTCCTCCAGTGTGCCTCCTGGATCCACTCCAAATACTTTTTGAGGGCTAATTTCGACACGACACATGACAAATTGCGAGCTCAGAGTGGAAGAGAAGTCGACGTGGATTGTGTGGTGTACCACAGCTTCAGATAAACAAGCTCTAAAGTTGATTCTTTAAGCGCAGTTGCTGTAGATTTTTCTTTGACAGTTTTCACAATTGGTGGAGGGATGCTGCGACATTATAAAATATAATAGAGCACCATACTTGAATAGTTATACAAAACAAAACAAAAAAATAAAACCCCCACAACTGTAGCGGTTTGGAAAACCCCAGGACTTGCATGTGTTATTTCAGTCCTGACATTACTTCCTGTCATCCTTCCGTTGTGAAGGCTTTGTTTCTTATGCATCTACGAGATTTTTTTTTCAAATATGATAATCGAAACTGTACTACAATAGACAATAAATAAGTAATGACAATACCAAAATAAGGCTATTATTTAGGGTGTATGAGTCTGTTTGTGGACTGAATTTGGGAAATTTGAATCCATGCTTATATACGTATCTCTCTCTCTCTCTCTCTATATATATATATATATATATATACACAAATGTGTGTGTGTGCGCACTTTGGTATTTGAACAATTCAGTCTCTATTAATAAAAAACACTTTTCTTTTCTCCTTCTCTGTTTAAGGTTTCTGTAAAAAGTTAGATACCAAAACATAACTTTTAACTTTTATTTTTTGAATGTTTTCAAGATATTTTTATTTGATACAAGATTATAAATATACATGATATTTCACAAACTTCTATTGAAATTTTATTTTATATTTAAACTGAATTTGCTTCGTAGTTTACAATAAAATTGTATTTGCAAATTCTTATTCTTAAAAATAAAGCATATTGGTTGAAAGATATGAATGTATCAAACAGTTCCTGATTTTTGTTCTAAATTATTGAAAATTTAATAGTTACCAAATTTGTAAATCCGTGTTGTTTTAAAGCTAAAAGACTGCTAGCTTAAAAGAAAATTGTGTTCAAAATGTTTTTTGATATACATTTAAGAAATTCTTTGTTTACTTTTAAAAAAGTATTGTATGTAGCTTAAATACCCAAAAAACTTAAATCTTACACATGATAATATAATCTTCATACAATCATGGCATTTGAATACAAACAATTTGTTATGTCTACAAATCTAAAAATTAGTGATACATCGAATTTGACATTGTCACTAATGTGCAGCAGTCAACAAAACTTGCCTTAGTTTGTTTATGGTTTAATGTTTTAATTAATAGTTCTTATTTTACAAAGACTTTGGATCCACTATTCATGAAATACATAAATAAACAAAAAATGTGAGTTTGAATCCAAGTAAGATGATTTTGCTGACCAATGACCATTTTACAAAAAAAAATTCTTTATCTATTTACCGTCAAGTTTATCATGAATACACATGCATATATATATATATATATATATAAAGTGAAGGAACATATAATCCAATTTTGTGGTATTATTAACATCCATAAATTATGTTACATCACAACTATTTTTGGTTGAAATAATATAAAACTTGTGATAGGTACAGGGTTTTAGGGTTTACAAAAACTTACACACCACATGATAGACCATGATAGAACATTGTTTTGAAGTTGGTTATATATATATATATATATACATACATACATATTTTTATATAACTTAGATAACATGTACAAACTCTTTAACATTCTCTTGACATGAAAATTTAGTTTTTTGAATGCATATGTGATTAAATCCACAAATATTCTCTCATATCAATGAAGTTGGATATACAAACCTTAAAGATTTTAGAATATTAAATATCTGAAATTTTTATTTCTTCAATTTTACTAAAGAAATCCAATTAATCTGATGTTAGTTTATTTTCAGGGTTCCAGGGTTTAGGGTTTTAGGTTTAGATATATATATATAACTTCAAAACAATGTTCTACAAAGTGGTGTGCAAATCTTTAAACTCCATACCAAGAGGGCCAAAATTCAAAATATGAATTTTATTTGAAAAGAAAAAAGAAGTTAAAAATTATTCATTGTTAAACAAGGAAGCAAAACAACAACCAAAAATAATGCAAAACAAAGAGTCAACAACAAAACAAATAAAATTGTAATAATTTCTTCATGCTAACATTTTTTTGTTAATATCAAATTATGACTCTTAATTTCCAAGAATTTTACGTATTTTTAAATAATAGTATATATGATTTAACTATGCATATTTATAAATTTAAACGTTTATTAATATTAAGATCCCTACAGAAATAAACACTGAAGCACCCATCCCCGTGCGTATGCCCCAGAAAGGGGTGGCGATGCGTTCATGCCCCATCTGCGCGACCGCGGCGAGGCGCGGCATCCGGCGGCGAGAGGGGCCGGGCATGGAATCACGGGTGCGGATCCACCCGGTCTACTACTGAACCAGGCAGAGCCACCAATTCAAAAATCTCAAGTCGGCTCAACGCTTTCTGTTGCGCGGCTGCTAATTTTAGTTCATGGTTCAGGTCCAGGAGCGTCAACGACGCGATCGCACGCCGTTCGTTGCAAAATGGCCCATTGCTATCCGTAGACTTCGATGACAAGTTCTCGTCCAAATGGCCATGGAAGCCCGGCGAGAACCGCTGGCTGGAACCTTGAAAACGCTGTTTGAAATTTCTTGTCTCCGTTGCATTTCCACGGACTTGTTGAAACGGTGCATTAACGACCATTCCTGCGATTGATCTTCCTGCCACTGCTTGTGGTGTTGGAATCGTTGCAATGTCTTTGCAGATTTGATTTTTGGAGCTAGAGTTGATCGATTGGCGCTTGGCTGACAGAGGAGCATCGTAGAGTCGTCGTCGTCGTCGTCGTCTTGCATCCTGTGGCGCACGAGGGAAGCAGATGCGTCACAGCAGATCGGGGCTTCCAATGAAGCAATAAATCGCCGTGAATTTCATTCTCTCTCGTAGTATTCTACACCTGTTGACGTATTCTTTAGCTTAGTCTCTTTCCATTTTAATTAGCTTTTGCTGTGTTTGAAATCGGAACTTTAAAAGGCATAGATTTGAACATCAAACATATATAGACATTTCATTATTGTTATTGTTATTGTTATTTTGTAAGGGATAGGTTTTATTATTATATGGATGACGTTGTGGCGGAGCACGTGATTTAAGCTAAGTTGATTGACTATCATGTTCATAATGCAATGTAACTAGTTATTACATATTCCATCTTATTATGATTTTTGCCTGGATATTGATGATGTGTTGTACATGAGCAACTAAAAGTGTTTTCTCAATCGAAAACTATCAATAGTTGGCATTCTCATCATGGTTGTGATTCCTCTTTACAGTGTGAAAATTGTTCGTGGATCTCGTTTTGAAAGGCTAAGAATCAGTACTGATGGATGGTTAGAATATCTTGATTCTCTGTATGTTGTTCTGTCTATTATTACTCCATCAACCCAGTACCAAATTATTTACGTACATCAAATAACTTTATTTATTTATATATTTGAATATTACTTGGTTACATTTAACGAGGCACTGATATTCAAGACTTTTGAACTGAAACAGATATAGCAATTGAGTAAACCTCAAATTCACCCCCACAAAAGAACGTTTAATTACCTTAACACTGTTAAAATATGTCAAAGACTAAATCTAGTCGGGATTCTATATTCTAATCCCAGCATCAATTTCCTGTAATAAAAAACGATAAAGCAGAAGTACCACAATGAGGTTGAATAAATGGTATAGTCGGAGATAATTGGAAGACCAATTCTAGTCGGGATCATCTCATTACTGAAGGGCCTCACATCTTTAATCGGGAGTAACTAGAAAGCAAAGAGGGGTTCATCACTTGATGACTCAGAGAAGGGGAAACAAAAAAACAAAAACATAAAAAGAAAGGAAAGAAATAAAGAAAAGAAAACTCTAGTCGGGATTCTGCATTCTAATTTCAGCACCGATTCCCCTTCAAACGACAATGGATTTAAAGAACCCGCAAGGTGGCAAAAGAAAATAAGGGGATTTAGTCTGAAATAGGAGACAAGTTTGTGAAGCTCTGGGAGAGAGCGAGAGAGATGGAAACGGAGAGAGGCATCATCGTCCAACCCATTATCGCTGGACTCTCGCAATAAAATAATAACCCATTAAAGTTGCAGCGGATGAGAAGGAAGAGATAAAAAACGAAGAAGCAGAGAGAGAAAGTGAGAGAGACTGTGACTAGGATCTGTATACAGTCACATGTGCCGGAGGAAGGGAGGAGTAGTAATAGGAGAGTAGGGTTTGGCGCTTTTGCAGACCCCGGAATTCTGAACGTTCAGGTGCTGCAACTGTTGGCGGAAAGAGATGAGAGGCCGGTGGCTTGTCTGAGGAGGAGGAGCTGGAGTCGCGACCGCCCTTGTTGTTGCACTCGCAGTGCTACGCTGGCTAAAACAAGGAAGGTTTTTGGTGTTTGTTGGAGACACTGAGTTGGAGTGGGAATAGCCCGAGTTCTGTTGCTGTTGTTGAAGTAGGAGTTGTTGTTGTTGGTGGTGGTGTTGTCGTTGTCGTTGCTGTTGTTAGCTTGTATGAGAGAGCTCAGCGGCGATGATGTTCACGAGGACTCAAGTGATGCGAGGGCCAGGGCAGAAAGCATCGTGGGGCACCACCTTGCTGCTGGGCTTGTTTCTAGTCGTGGGCACCACCGCCTGGCTTACATTGGTGTTCTCCTCGCATAGGTCCCCTTGCATTGCAGACACGCACATGAACCCCGCACCCCCAACCAATTTCTGGTCGCCGTATAAGAGCCTCCTCAACGAAGCCACTGCCTCAGGTGCCCCTTACATTCTCCCCAGCGATCCCAAAAACCGACTGGCCATCAACCAGATTGTATTTGGGATTGCTGGCGCTGCCGAGCTATGGGACCGACGCAAAGAGTTCGTGAAGCTTTGGTGGCGCCGCGAGGAGATGCGGGGATTTGTGTGGCTGGAGCAGGCAGCGAAGGTTCCAGCCGGTGAAAATCTCCCTCCCGTACATGTCTCGGAAGACACCAGTACCTTCACCTACACTCATCCACTCGGAAATCCCTCAGGAATTCGTTTGTCTCGAATAGTCTGTGAGGCTTTCCGTCTTAGACTCCCGGGCGTGAAGTGGTTTGTCATGGGTGACGACGACACTTTGTTTAACACAGCGAACCTTGTCCGTGTTTTGAGCAAGTACGACGCGTCGGAGATGTGGTACATCGGCAGTAACTCCGAGAGTCACCGGCAGAACGATTGTTTTAGTCACAATATGGCTTATGGAGGCGGAGGTTTTGCAATCAGCTATCCTCTGGCCGAGGCACTCACCGCAATGCAGGACCAGTGTTTAGAGCGATATCCTTCACTGGTTGGAAGTGACGATCGATTACATGCTTGCATTACTGAACTTGGCGTCCCTTTGACCAAAGAACCAGGGTTTCACCAGGTGAGATATCTTCTCGTGGCTGAGGGTAATCGTTGCACTTGGGTTCCTATTATTTATATGAAGTGGAAATCCTCAGGAGCCACATTGTATCTCACTTAATTTCTTTGGTCCGATTTGCGGGGTGGACAACCCTTCGTAGGAATTGTTAAGCGCCTTATTTCAAAAGATGTGTTTCCTGATAGTTCAGCTTATTAGGAAAATGTGGGACGTCTGTGAGTGTCAATAACCGTCCTGATTTAATATGTGAATTTCTGCAACGCGTCCTTATCATTGTCATAGTTTTCAAGGCTGTTTTTTTTTTTTTTTTTTTTTTTTTTTGTTTTTTTTGTTTTTTTTTGCGTGGATGAGTGTTTTCCCTGTTTCTTACCCGCGTTCTCACCTCCATTTCTGTCTCTTGCCCAATGCAGTTCGATATTTTCGGCAACGCGCATGGCCTACTTGCGTCTCATCCATTGACTCCCTTCATCTCTATCCATCATTTGGAGCTTTTGGATCCGGTCTTCCCTAATATGTCAGCCCTAGACGGACTGAAATTGCTGACTAAAGCCATGCACACGGATCCTGGGAGTTTCTTGCAGCAATCAATTGCGTACGACCACAAACGCAGCTTGTCATTCTCAATATCGACGGGGTACGTCGTTCAGGTACGCTCTACGTGAAGGCTTTACTCAAATTTGAGCATATACTTTCTGCTAGAAGTTGATACACTGCGTATGTCGAGTGTGGGTATTGTAAGGCTTATTAGTTCAGCTTTTGTTAACTTACTTGAACCCTGTATCTAACCAATTCTAGAGAACCCAATCAAATATTTTGGTAGAACTTGTTCGGTCGAGTATCTGAATTAGACCTGCCGCTTCGCACGTTTGTTTTTGCACGGATGTTAGTTTTCCTGACTGCGCCACACTGCTTCTCGCAGGTTTTCCCAGAAATTATCCTACCTCGATTGTTGACTCGGGTTGAGACTACCTTCACTGCGTGGAACAAAGGCAACTCATCTCTTGAGTTTGCATTTGACACCAGACCGCCTGCTAAATCAATATGCAAAAAACCATACTTGTTTTATTTAGCGGAGATGTACCATGACCCTGTCACGTCACGCGTTGTTACTTTGTATAAGAGACTTCACAGTGTTGATGAGGAAAAGACCAGGAACTTTTGCTGGTTCAAGGGGTTCCCTCCATCACAAGTCCAAAGCATACGAGTCAAGAGCGAACCAGTCTCCAACAAGTTTTTCATGGTATTTTTGTCTCATTCAATCTCCTGCATTGATTTCCAAGTTTTAGAAGTTGAATGGAAACCGGCATAGACGTCGGATACAAAAACAGGTCATATCAAAGTATTAGATTGTTGAAGTTTATAAAGAATCTAATAGGAAGTTAATTTGATCACACAGTTACCAAGGAGACAATGCGCCAAGCTTTTGGAAACAAGAAACCACGTGTTGGACATCGAAGTCGTCACTTGCGGACAAAGAGAGCTGATCAGTGATTAAACGATGAGGCCAATGCACAGCTCGAACTCTGCCTCTGTTTATGCGCTTCCACTCGTTCGCTCCGCGGTGGTCGTTTTTCATTCCGCGGCGGGCTTCAGGTGTGCGAGTGTAAAACTGTCCCCCCTGTCTCACTGCAGCGTCGAAGAATTTCGACATCTAAGTGGTGTGAGTATCACCGAAAGATCTGAGCAGCGAAGCATGAATGTTCCACGAACCAGTCAAGCCCCTCAAGTCCAGCGTTTCACAGAATCGATGGAGCTGCACCCTTCCTGGTTATGAGAATATGTTTAGTTAGACGAAAACCAAAAGGCCGTGATCAGAGACTAATGCACAGTGAAAAACCAGTCTGCAGAGTGGGGTTCAAAGGCCATTGCCCAATTCCTTAGTCACCGTTTTTTGAGGCACCCAATTGTTTCAGTTGGACAGTCATGGAAGCCAACTGTCTAACTTGTACCAAGAAACACAATGTATTTTTCTAGTCGTAATTGTTGCTTGCATCCTTTCAAGTAGAGATGCATTTGTGGCATACAAGTGTGAAGTGTGTTGTTTGGGCTTAGTCAAATTATTGTCCACTACCTGTAAATGGGTATTCGAAGTCCATGAAATGCACGTTAAATCAATCAGCGCGCTGGACACTGATGTCAACCCAGGCTTCATCCGCTTTCACATTGGCCTGCACGCTTTGCTTTACTGCAACCAGCTTGTCATCAGCTCGAAGTAGCGGAGAAACTGTGTAATAATAGTGAGCTCTGAGTGTCGTAGTTCTGGACGTTGATGGTAATGTCTCATTTGGCATAGCTCAATTACTCAATTCTTTATTGTCTTTTATGGGCGATTACAACGGCTATCATGAATTTTAGTACTTTTAACGTCTGCTAATTTTATTTGGTCTTATATATTAAAGTAGTAGATCTTCAGTTTTATTATTCATTATCCTATGTGCTTCACATCTTGTATACTTCATAATATTAAATTGAGAGTAGACTAAAAGTATTATTCATGTTTAAGATTCAATATGAAATTTTATCATTCCATAATCTTATTGCATTTAGCAATCTTGTTTTTTATGTATTATTATTCATAATTTATTTGTAACACAATCATATAATTAATTAAATATCATCAAAAAACAATTTGCTATCTTCTTAAATATTTTTTTTGTATTTTATTAATGTTCTATTTTATTTGTATGTATATATATATATATATATATATATATACTTATATGATAAAATTTATTTATTTAAAAAATATTGTGTTTGTATATATATATATTAAAATAATGATTCAACCTAATTATCTATAATCATTATTATTTTTGATTATTCATAATTTCTTATCAACATCTTAATATTATAAATTCCCTAGGATTTTTGGCTTGTATTGCTACAATTTATGTTTTTTTTCTTTACCTAAATATTCCAAGTTCAAAGTGTTGCTAGGTTCCATCTTTTCTTTTAAAATCATATCATTTCAAAAAATTGTAAATAAGAGTTCTTGCTTTTAGTAACTAGTTTCTTCTTGTCTTGCCATGATTAATACTAGAATTGATTTAACTTTTTTTTAAAGATTATTAAGATGTTCTTGTGAATTTTTTTATTTGTTTGACATAAAAAATAAAATGAAAATAAAATGAAAATAAAATACAGCAATTAACTCATTCTAAATCGACTTAATTTAAGAATTTTGAATTTATATATTGACTCAAACTAAACTAACTTAGTATATAAAATTATTTTTTATAAACTTCAATTGTATTTCAGGTTAATTTATTAGTAATTTCTAAGATTTATTTTCATTAACATTATATAATATATATATATATATATATATATATATATATATATATATATTTATTGCATGCTTTAATATTCATTATATTTTTAACAAATTGTATTTACCTAAAAGATGTAAATTTTTAAAGATTTAGCTATCAATTTATCGTTGATTAAAAATATTGATATCAAAAGATTTTCATTACAAAACCAATTTAAGAAATATAGTTTAAAATATTTAGATACATTATAGTATTTAATACATTAAAATTTTAAAAACTATTTACATTTGTATCCATTTGAATTTAAAAAATTCAAATATTATTATTAGTATTATTAATTTTTTATTTTTTGAAGCCATTTTTAGTATTATTTAAGTTCTAAATATTATTGTTGGATTTTATGTATTTTATGTATTATTTATTTATTTATTTATTTAAGTTATAAAATTAAAACTATAATTTTTGTTTATAATTTTTTTCCTCTTTGCTACTATCATGGACATACATAATTATTTGAATGAGAAGTATTAGGTAGAAGATAAATGAAGATAGATTTAATAATACCTTTTGGATAAGCTTTGTAAAAGCTTTATAGACTTAGATTTGACTTTATACGTGTTTGTAGTTGGTTGGGATAATAGAAACTTGGCCAACAAGTTCGACATATGTTGCACATATTAGCAACTTTTGGTACAAGTTGGCTATGTAGAGCATATGGAGAAAACTAGCCTTGCAAATTAGATACATAGTGGAGATTCTATAGAACATTGCCACATAGTTTTTAATTACATTGTATACATAGAGGTAAGAATAAAGCCTTCCTTACTTTTTTCAATGTCTTTTTTTATTTTTAGTCTTGTTTCAAGAATCTCTAATCTTCTTATCTTTGGCAATAGTCATTCTAGTTTAATATTAAACCATCTCTGAGTGCTTATTTATTATTTTTTTAGTGATACAAGAATGTATTGAGGTTTTTTTTGCTTATCATTTTTGTCTTTATCAGTTTGACAAAAATTTTAATTTATTATTCTTATTTAAGAACAATATTTGAAAGAAGTAAGTAGATCAATTTCACAATTGGATCAAAGAAGATTTTTTACTATAAGCATGGCGCAAAGAATGATAAGTATACAAGAGAAGTTTCTTGGAATAAGATTAAATATTTGAGGATTTGTATAATAAGTCAAGTTCTATCTAAGATTGTATTCTTTTCAATACCTTCATAGATTTACTATCAAGGATATGAATCAAAACAAAAAGAACTTAAAAATATTCTTGTGTAATTCTAGAAGAATAAATATTCATTCCAAAAATAATATAGTATTTAGACTAGAATGGCTATTGCCAAAAATAAGAAGAGTATAGACTTTTAAAACTAGACTAAAAACAAGAAAGGCTTTAACAAGAGTAAAGAAGGCTTTATTCTTGCATCTTTATATACTATCTAATTAGGAGCTAGGTGGCAATATTCTACATGTCCTCCAATATATGTCTAAATTGCAAGACACATGTCTTAACTTACAAGATAAGTTTTTTATATGTATACCACATAGATAGCTTGTTCTATAAGCTACCAGCATGCACGACACGTGGCTAACTTGTTGGTCAAGTTTTTTAACCTATAAAGATGTACAAAGTCAAAGTTGCATCCATTAAAATTTTACGAATTTTTTTTAAAAGATATTATGAAATTAAGCTATTTTTATCTATTTCTATCTAATCATATAAGTAATTATTAAAGTAAATATGTATGTTTGTAACATCTATTCAAGTTGGCGTTATAGATGAATTTCTATTTGGAAGTGCTTTCTCTTAATTTATACCTTTGATAGAAAAAGATTTATGATACATGTATGATTTAAGTTCATTCTTATAAGTATTTATGACACATTTGAAAAAAATGATTGAAAAAAAGGTAGAAGATACCAAACTCTTATATTTACAACAATGATTATGTTTAGTTACAATATATGTTGCTGAATTCCAAAATCTTATTTGGATCGTGGATTTGAATAACAAAGTCTTTATCAAACAATTTCAATGTACATTCAAAGATAATGTTAAAAATTTATTGTTAAAAATATTAAAAACATACTCATTAAAATAATTTATTTTTAAAGCTATTATATACAACAATTGTCTTTTTGAAAGATGTCAAGAACAAAGATATGGTTGAAGAGGTACAAGTCAAGTCATGGCAATAATTTCAAAGTTTTTAGAAACTTATTAATTAAAGCTAAAACCTATGCAAATTAACATAGTACTATTTAAATTTCTTAGTAAAAAAAACATTTGATGTAATCAAAAAAGATTGTGCTTATATTATAAAGAATTTAAATATACTACTCAATATTAATCCATAAAGCAATGCAATCACAAAATGTGGAGCATGGTTGCCAAGAAGATAATGTGTCAAAAATTAAATTTTTCTAACTAAAATAAAGACCATGCCACAAGAATCTTGCACAACATCTAATAAAGGTCTTAGTTTATCTTCAAATACATCACCTTGTTTTGTAATAGATGTCTTTTAAGGATTAAAAATTTACAAAGTCTTTGTCTAATTAAATTCATGAACTTCAATTTGTTTTATAGATGCAAAATTTGTTAAAAAAAAATATTATCCTTAATTAAAAAAACTAAGCTTATACACATAGAAGTCATAGATGTTTATGATTTTCTATTTATAATTTTGACATATATTTTTTTAAAATTTTATATTTTAAATATTTTCAATGTATATTCTTTTAGCTAATTGGAATCTTATTTTGGAAACAATTTAATAAACTTACATAAAATTGAAGGTAAGACTTTTAAGTGCCAATAATGTTTTTAGATTCATCAAAATATTTTGATCCTATTAGAATTCTACTACAAAATATTTATAATATATACATGTTGAATAATAATTTAAACTTATATATATAAGTTTATATATATATATATATATATATATATATATATATATATATATATATATATATTTATGAATTTATGTTTTATTTTTATTTTTATAATATTCTATTAATCAATATCCTATAGCAAAGTAACTTCATATCATATACTAATTTAATTGAGAACTTATTGTTTTGCCATGTAGTTAGCTTAATTTTAATTAAGTTGTCCAAGTTCACATAATTCATGTTATAGAAGCTTTGAATTACAAATTCTAATGTATATTTACATAATTCAATAAAAATTAAAACAATCATTTTAAAATTTATGTTATTTAAAGCATAAAATATTTATTTTTTATCTCAAAAAAACTTGATATTTATAATATTAAAGATTTAGAGTATAATCAAGTATTTTTTAAAGAAAATTAATATAAAAAATATAAAATTTATTTTTCTTAAATTTAGTAATTTGTCTGAATAAATTATATTTTTCTTAAGTTTTAAAAGAACATAAGCTATAAAATAATATTTATATAGAAAAATTAGTAAGTAAATTTATTTTTTATATTCTATAAAAACTTCACTAACATAAAATTCTTGATCTATTTTCATTAATATTTATTTTGTATTTTGAATTTATTAGATTTGATAACATTGCTACTTAGCTTTAATTTTAATATTCTTCTATATATATATATATATACACATATATTATATCTATTATAGATCTTGGTTTTTTAATACTTGAGATATGAGATTTATAAAAATACAAGAATAAAAAATATATAGTATAAAATTAATACAGATCAGTTGTATATATTTATATGTATATATTATGATTTTTCTTATTCT